GCGAGGATGCATGGACGGCTACCAAGGAAAGTTTATCTTCCTGTCTTACACGGAACTCGCGCAAGTTCGTGCGAACCTGTTTGCCGGTTTCGCCACTATAATTGGTTTGACCACAATGAAATTCAATCCGGTAAATGACAAAGGATTTTGGTCGAGGAGAATTGCACCTTTAGGCTGCATGAATTGCCGGTGGAGTGTCGCTTCCGCCGGCAACACTATAACGAGACGGAGTCGATACTTAAAATAAGACACCTTACCGACCTCCTGAATCACTGTTTGAGCACCCTTTCCACCTTAAATGGAACCGCGTATGAACAAGTCAAAGGCACACCAATAGAGCAGTCGTTGTCCGACGTGAGTGCCGAGACAGTATTGCGTCGGTTTCCACCAATAGTGTGGGTACGGTACGTTGATGACAGGTTTTTCATCACAAATCGGGACAGAATTGGAAATTTCATGCAGAATATGAACTAGACCTTCCCCGATATCCGATTCGCGACAGAGGAAGAAAAAGACTACGGCCGTGATGTACTGGCTTGCCAGCGAAATAGCGTCTGACAGCGGTTCGAGAACATAAATTTTCTCAATACTGTGTGAATGTTAAATATCTAATTTTGCAATAAGACCATAATGAAGCGTAAAATGAATTTTAGAAATTAAATCTCGGGAAAATTCACTTCTGTCACCTGTCAAGAATCGTACCATCTTCAAGCTGTCCACCGGTCAGATAGATCCACGTGTGGGATGCAGCGATGCCGTGGTATATTCTGGGCGTCCCAGGCAGAGGTGGGCAGTGTACAATTTTTTTCAGGTCCGAAGAGTAAGCATAGAAGTCAGTATTACAGCGGAAGGAATGATCGGGTGTATAATCTCTTAGAAGAGATTCGTCTTCAAGACCACCAACAGAGTAGATACGAAAGTCAGTCCCAACACGAGCCGACTCGCTGCCAGGGTTCAGGAGTAAAAACAACTGACCTGCCTGGGAAATATGGGGAGTGTCGCCTTCTACGCTGGTATTAAGGGTGCTTTTGGAAATCAGAGCTAAAGTATGCGGTGGGAGGTCCTTCAGCTGCTCCTCAGAGAAAAGTGGTGACCCATACGTGGAGAAGAACCAACGCATTAGCAAACGCAGAGCAGCATCCGTCTTTGAGAATGCAGGGTCCTTTACTATCTGTCGTAGGTCGTCAGCACTGACCTAAGTCAAGCAAATGATAAAGTAAGAAGACGCAGATGGAAAAGACTGGTGTGCAAAATTATTCATAGGTCCCATTGAGAGAAAGCTATATTTTGAAGGTAACAACCAACATTTTCAGCAAAAAATGACTCCAATCACGGAGAACAGGGTTAAGGTAAGGTAAGGGGTCATGGTAAAAGGTCAAAGAATATTCAAAGTTAAGGGTTTGCACGATATCCACATCTGTTATGGAGACACGTCGGCTTTCAACTTCTCAATTTCTGTTTCTTCAACAGATGTGATAAAAATCTCTATTAGGCAAACTTGAATGCGTAGTATGGACTGTAGACGAAAAAGCGGCGGTATGTGCGCAGAAACCCATGATAATTTGACCATAAAGTTTCGCTAGAATATCGAGTAGGAAGACTACTTAGGTTAGAATACAAATTTCAATAACCGGGGAGACGGACTAAAATTTCACGCAGCAGTATGCTGATTTCCGGCCGTGATCTTTCAGGCGTGAATTTGTTGGTCTTTGATCGCAAAAACTTTGGACTAAGCATGAACACGGAGAATACGGTGGTCAGGTTTTAACCAGGACCAATTAACTAATACATTATGTCCAAGATCAACGTGAACGGAATTTACTTCGCGGTTAGGGACATCTTCACCTACTTAAAGAGAATGGTATCAAGAAATAACAAATTCGATGGTGACCTTTTCACTAAATCATTCAAGCCAACCAGGCTACAGTCCAATATCTGGAATCTTCGTGACCTTCGGCTTAAAATGAAAATGAAGACATCCGGAACCGCCTTTCTGCCAACCCTCTTGTACGAGACGGAGACATGCAGTCTAAGAATCTTAAGCAACGGAACTCCACCTTCGGCTGCTTCGGCAAAATAATAAAGCTAAGGTGACAGGACAGCTTCCCCGGCAAGAAAGTATCCCTGTCACGTTAAGGCAGATACAACTATACTAGGGCAGCCATGTTGTGAGGATAGCTTACGAGCACATGCCCAAGCGACTGTTTAGTGGTGACGTACAAAATCGCATTACGAGAACACCCTGAAGGCCCCCCTTCAACCCCTACAACT